TGTAAATTAGCGTCCAGCAGCCCATTTTTTATACTGGGAAAATGTATATACCTTGTGTGGTTTACGCCGTTGCTTCAGAATAACTCAAACTGTGTATGTACCATCCCGTCTCCAATCCAAAACCACATGGCAGCTGCGGTCCTGCAATTACGAAGGGCAAACTCTTTCCAAGTGGGTCAAAGTGCCAGTGTTCTGACGAGACTGCCCCGCGTGTTCGCCGAGAGTGTCGAGAGAAAGCGCGGTACACTGTTCGCATTGGCCAGGTGGCTGTGGAGCGATCTGAATCAAAAGTCACGTGATAGGGAAGTCCCGGACGGACCATCCAGGCACAGATCTCTGCAGCTCGCATCCATTTTTGCATGTTTATCACCTCGCTGGCACAACACATGCACCGTACTGTGTGTACTTGTTACTTGGGGCACTGTCCGCCTGGCCTGACCCCCCCCCCCCCCCCCCCCCCCCTCAAAACCCCCTACGTCCTTCGAAGACTGAACAAGTCCATCCCTCCTACCCTGCCATGGCCAAGAAGCCTCGCACAAGCAAACAACGGGCCGCGAACTACAAAAGACCAACGGTAGGGGGGTGCGCTCTTCCTCTTAAATCTTCTTGGTTTACTAGATAACAGAAGTCAAAGAGATGGTAAAACAAGCCAGCAGCCCCAAACAGAACCCCTCTGACGAGCACTGGAAAAGATAGCGGCCACCGACCCGCGCCGGCACCACAACTTCCCTCACCCCCCCCCCCCCCCCCCCCGCCGTAGTTCCGGTGACGACATTTCTATGGATGATATGGACGCCCTAAGTGATCCTGCTTTAAAGCTGGTATTCAAGAAATTGGTACGCCAGCAGGCCGCCGATCGCCGGTCAGCTTCGGAGAAGTTCAACACGCTTGGCGAGGCGCTTGCACTTGAAAACATTCTGGTTATTGCTACCGGAATCCTTCAGTGGAGCGCAGATAAATAACCCACACATTTCCCTCCCCAAAGCACTTTGAAGAAGCTGCAAGGTTCTTACGCGACGGCCTTTCAAAAATTGCATGGAAAGCTTCGACAGCGTCGCGACGAGGGCAAAGGTCACGTCTCGGCATCGCTCCCTGACACGGATGACGAGTTGTCTGCGTTTCTCGAGCATTGTGACGCCACAATCGAGCATCGAAACGTTGAGCATGTACACGCGCGCACCGTTGAGATTTTGACCAGGCGTGCTGCACAAGCTCATCGGCTGGTGGAAGCATTTCCCGGAGTGCGAAAGACGTTCCCGTTTGAATGCATGGTGGTGGAGAACTTTGATCTGTTCAAAGAGTGTTTCGAAACGCTGTGGTCGGCGAAGGAGAAGGCGGTAAAAGAGATGATGGACAAGCAGCGGACCAAATAGGAGAACATGGCGAGGAGTCGGCTTCGGAGACAAACGGATGAGAGGGTTCGCACCGTAAATTATATAGTGGAGACCGTCGGTTGGGGTTAACAAGGGTTTTTGTGCCACATTGAGAAAGGTTCCATCGGTTTCCAGACTGTGTCTTGTCTCGACGTCACTTCTCCCTCTTCTCCCATCTCAGCTAAGAGTCAAGAGTGATTTCTGCCCGGGCCGTCAACTCCATATCTCCGCCATGACGGAAGTACCACTGGAAGTCGTTGATACGGTTCTGCTCCACGTGGACGACGTCAAGGAACGATTCCGCATCGCAGTTATACTTTGCAGACTCCATGTGCGCGACTCCTGCATCCCACGCCTACCGCAATGCGCTCCAGATTGTGCCGCTGAACGTGGGAACGTTGACCTGCTTGAATGGTGGAAACAAAGTGGCCTGGAGATGAAGTGGACAGACAAAGCGTCCTATCGGGCTAGCAGGAACGGTCACATCGCTGTGCTCCATTGGTGGAAACAGAGGGGGCTGGAGATGAAGTGCACTGCGGCGTATGTGTGCGATTGGGTTAGCAAGAATGGACACGTCAATGTTCTCGATTGGTGGAAACAGAGCGGTCTGGAGATGCAGTGGACAAAGGATGCCTGCGATTGGGCGAGCGGGAATGGCCACGTCGCTGGGCTCAATTGGTGGAGACAGACTGGTTTGGAGATGAAGTGGACATCGGATGCGCGTGATAGGGCTAGCGAAACTGGGCACGTCGCTGTCCTAGATTGGTGGAAACAAAGCGGACTAGAGATGCAGTGGACAGCGTATGCGTGCGATTGGGCTAGCAGGAATGGTCACGTTGCGGTGCTCGATTGGTGGAAACAGAGCGGTCTGAGGCGGTAATGGAATCGGGGACTTTGAAAATGGTCGAAAGGGCTGTGTAGCAAAATATATGTAACATTAACACTCGTTCTGAATCGTGTGTACATAAATGAAAAAATCCGCCTACTTAAACCTAACAATGACATAGAAAGTAAAGCATCATGTCATCCCCACAATATGTACCTACGCACATCGCCAGGAGCGCTTTCGGCGTCTACAACAATACCCTCCGCAACTGGGCAGATCGCGGTTGGATCGACGTTATCCGAACCCCAGGTGGCTAAAGATTGTACAACGTTCAGAAGTTCATCGCCGACAACTCTCAGCGGGGTACAATATCTACCAATGTCACCAAGAAGTGCGTCTGTTACTGCCGAGGTTTTACTACCCCTACCTGGCAACCACGCTCCGATCTCATTGAGACTGAAGCGTTGGACATCTGGGAGTCTCGTCCAGCCGCTTTCAACGCCCGAACCATTGAGGCCCTCTCGAACGCATTCAATGCGCGTACCGAAGACACGCCTCAATCCGTCACTATCACCTGGCGCCAAGCGGTGGCCTCCCCTCAATCAGCTGACTTCAAGCTCGCAGCTGATAAAGAGTTCCAAGCTCTCGTCGACAACGGTACTTGGGAGCTCGTACCCCATCCGCGCGATCAGCGCGTACTCGGTAGTACTTGGGTACTTCCTCAAATCTTCAATCCGGACGGTACTTTCAAGAAATTCAAGGGCCGCGGCGTCGTTCAAGGTTTTTGTCAATCCAAGGGTATTGATTATAACGACACCTACGCTCCAACCTTACCCATGTCGGTTCTTCGCCTTTTCCTCTCCATTGCCGTCTCTCTCGGTATGAAAATCCATCAACTGGATGTCCCCAACGCGTTCTTACGCAGCGACATCGACGGCCCCGTCTATGTTGAACAATTTCAAGGCTACGAAGATCCACACAAGCCGCGCGCAGACTGGGTATACCTCTTACGCAAGGCTCTATACGGTCTGAAGCAATCTCCGCTTCTCTGTTACCGTACCCTTCGCGAAACCCTAGGTTCTTTTGGCTTTACTCCGCTAAAGAACTGCCCTTGCGTCTTCTATCGCTACGCGAGCACGATGCGCACTCTGGACACCCTCCAGATGCTCCTTATCTTTGTGGACGACTTCGTCGCCTGCTGCTTTCCCGTACCGTCAATCAAGTGAAAGGTGAAACTATGTTTCTTATCTCAACTGTACGGATCTCGGTCCCATCAAGAACTGCATGGGTCTAGACTTTGATTACCTGCTCTTGCCGTCAGGGAACCAACTCAGAATCAGCAATGTTACCTATATCGAGGGTTACTCAAACGATTTGGACAACAAAACTGCTACACCGGTCTCTACGCTACACGCCGTGCGCCGTCTCGGCGCGTACAAGACCCGCCTCCGCAAGTCCCCCTTTTCCTAACAAGCTTCTCTACCAGGAAGCAGTGGGGGCCCTCACGTGGGCATCCATTACCTGGCGCTGGGATATTTCAACTGCCGTCGGCTTGTCGCACATCAGGTCTCAGCCCCAACCCAGGCCGACTGGAATGGAGTACTTCGCATCATGCGCTACCTCAAAGGTACCTGCACCTTCGAGCTTACCTACAAGTCCGGTCCTTCCGATCAAGCTGGACTATACAGACGCATCCTACGCAGACGATGTCAACGACCGCATATCTACCGCGGGCATCGCCACCTTCTTCAACGGCCAGCTTATCTACTGGAAAAGCACCAAGCAGAAGTGCGTAGCTCTCAGCTCCACGGAAGCTGAGTATATTGCCGCAGCCCTCGGTTCCAACAAGGCCTTCCGGCTCCGCTCGATCATTGCGGAGGTCTTCGGCAACGAATATGGCAACATCAAGGACCCCACGCCAATCCACATCAACAATCAGAGCGCCCGCAAGATTGCCAACTTCACGGCTATTACTCAACGCTCCAAACACATCGACGTACGCTACCACAAGCCACACGACGGCATGGCGAAGAAGGACGTCATACTCCTCGACACCACGACGCAGGAACAACTGGCTGATTACTTCACGAAACCATTTCCTCCTGAGACACATACGAAATTTATTCAAGCAATTCAAGAAGGACGTGTCGCTAGCAATAGACAGCCAGCGACAACTACGTCCGAATAAGACATACGGAACACCCATACCGGGACGGCTTCTGGGCACTATATACGACTTCGCCACCTTGTATTGAAACCTTAGCTGATATAGGTGTATCTGAGAGGTCACTAAGACTGGTTCGCCGATGACTAAGGGACGTAGCTGCCCAAAGGGCAGTGTTGTGATGTGGAAGACAGTAGTGTGGCAAGAGTAGCGCGATAGAAAGCTGTGTATTGAAGAGGATAAAGTGAAGAGAGGGGATGGGCAACAGGTCTGCCTTTTATACGAATCTGGGGCTTCTTTCTTGGGGATTTAGCTATGTGCTGGGGCGTCCAAAGCACCCTCTGAGACCCCCTCAGAACACCCAAGGCGTCTCTGAGTGCCGCAGTTAAGGTTGGTAAGGTTTGTAAGGTTTTGCCAAGTCTGTGTAGCCTCACAGGTACCTGCTGATGCCTCATGGGCATCTGCCAAGTCCGCGGAAGGTGCTACAGGCTACCACAAGCTGAATCAAGCCCAATCTAGCTACTACAACCCGATCACAGCTCCATACGGGCACTACTGACCGCTGTGAGCTCTAAGAACATCATGAAAGCGCAGTGCTGACGCCTGGATGTCTGGGAAACGGTCCAGACATCTTCAGAGCCTCCCAAGACGCGTCCTAAGTCTTGCAGAGCCTTCTAAGTGCCGCATCTTGATGCAACCTCAATACTCCCTCTCACTTGAAGGCTCCGCAGCCTCTAAGTGCATCGCAGCTCTCAGACGTGTGAAGTCTGGCGTGGGGAGGGGCTTGGTGAGCGCATCAGCTATCATCTTCTTTGTTGGGCAGTGCTGGAGGGTAACTGTCTTGTGTGCGACTTGTTCACAAATGAAGTGGTATCGGATGTCGATGTGCTTGGTTTGTGCATGGTGAACTGGGTTTGTGGCGAGTGCCATAGCTCCTTGGTTGTCTTCCCAGATGACTGTGGGGTCTTGGACGAGTCCTGTCTTGTCTTGGTGCGTGCTCAGTTCTCTGAGTTGAGATCTGAGCCACATGGCTTCTTTACAGGTGTCTGTAAGTGCCATGTATTTGCCTTTGGTGGAGGAGAGTGCTGTAGTGCGTTGTTTGCGTGATTTCCAGCTTACTGGACTGTCGAAGGTGAAGAGGTATCCTGTGGTCGATCTTCGAGTGTCTGGGCAGCCTCCCCAGTCTGAGTCTGACCATCGCACGAGTTTGAGGGTTCCTTGGACGGCTCCCAGTCGAAGTTGGTAGTGTTTGGTCGTCTTGAGATACGCCAGAATGCGTTTGGCAGCTTTCCAATGTCCTTTGCCTGGATTGGCTAAGAACTGGCTCACAGCTCCAACTGCTTGGGCTATGTCTGGTCTTGTGCCGATCATTGCGTAGATCAGACTGCCTCCAATGGCTCGATAGGGCTTGTTCTGCATCTCTGCAGTCTCTTCAGGCGTTTGAGGTGCCATTTCCTTGGTGAGAGGGCTTTCCACGACGCTGGGAGTTGATACAGGCTTGCAATCGGTCATCCCATATATTTCAAGGCATTTTTGGATGTACCCAGTCTGGTTGAGCGTCAGGAGTCGTTTGGCTCGGTCTCGAGTGACTAGGAGACCCAGGAAGTAGTGCAGGGCACCTAGATCACGAATTTCGTACGCCTTCTGAAGTTCCTTGGCCTTGAAGCTGTCAAGATTGAGTCTCTTGTTGCTCATAAGTATGAGATCGTCCACATAGAGGATCAGGATGAGTAGCCAGCCCTCCAAGAACCTGATATAGACGCAATGGTCTGAATCAAGACGAGTGAAGCCTTTCTCAATGAGAGTGCCGTGGATTTCGATGTTCCATTCCCTGGGGGCTTGTTTAAGACCAGAGAGTGTCTTCTTGAGTTTAGGCACGAGATGCTCTTCTCCTGGTTTGATGTAGCCCGGTGGCTGCTTCATATAGACCTCCTCACTGAGTGTTGGGTTCAGGAATGCGGTGGACACGTCCATTTGGTCCATTTCGAGGTCCTGAGCTGCTCCCCACGACAGGAGTAGCCGAATGGTGTCGAACTTGGCCACTGGTGCGAATGTTTTGTTGTAGTCAGCTCCCTCTTCTTGTGAGAAGCCTTGGGCGACTAGTCAGGCCTTGTAGCGTTCGATACTGCCATCAGCATTCGTCTTGATCTTGTAAATCCACTTGCATCCGACAAGGTTGCGATCTTTTGGTGCTGGACAGAGCTCCCAGGTGCCGTTCTTGACAAGGGATGCGTATTCAGCATCCATGGCTTCCTTCCACTTGTCTGAGTCGTTGGAGTTTAGAGCTTGCTTGAGGGTTTTGGGCTCTGTGTGCAGTACTTCGGTAGCCAGGGCATAGACAAGGTTGCTTTGGCGTATTCGAGTGCTCTGGGAGCGTGTGATGCGTCCATAGTGCACCAAGTCGTCATCTCCCTGGTCTTCCTGGTCGTCTAGGTCCTCTGGGGCCTCTGCCCATTGATCAGTGTCAGGTTGTAGGTTGGCAGATGCGTCAGGAAGCTCAGATTCCCCCCCTGCAGCGTGCGAGCGTAATTCTGCGGTGTCTGTGAGCATGGGTGCGTGTGAAAGGATGTTGTCAGGCTCAGGATCAAATCAAAGCTCGCTAAGCTGTCATAAGAGCGATCTGACGTGTCTTCATGTGTATCTTCGTTGTCCAGGCTGTTGTAGAACTTGTTTTCATTGAACTGGACGTCTCTTGATTCGATAATGGCGCCCTGATCATTGGGTTCGACTGGTTTCGAGTTCTCCTTGCGCCTAGCTTCTTCATTCAGAAGTCTGGCCGTCAAGAACTCCATGTCTAAGTTGTCAGCCCTGCTCTGAGGCTTGTGATGACTTGTTCGTAGCTGTTTGGTAAGCTGTAGATCAAGGATGATATCGTCTTCGGGTACTGGGG